TATAAGCATTTTCATAGATTCAAGTTTAAATGATTAAAAAAATCATGCTCGAAAAAAAATAATGTGGAACATAATATTTTATTCCATACCTTGGGTTCGTTGGATGAGGTCAACTGATGGACGCAAGATGCCATTGAGTGCCTTAAATGTTTCATTTTTTTCCATCTCATAAATAAAATACACTAAGTCTACAAAATCGACTAAACTCGTGCTCTAATACCAAGCTGTAACGCCCCGACCCGCATGGACGGAAACGTCACTCAAACCATTGTACCTTAGCCGTAAAGTTAGTTCAATATATTTTTAGTAGAATGTATAAAGATTAAATTTTAGAATTTAATTAAAAAAATTTCTTTTTTTATTTAAACAATAAACCAATTCTAAAAGAAAATAATTTCAAAAATGTTTTTGGAATGGGTTCCATGCATGTAATGACTATTGACGTGAAATTTTGGCAAAACTTAAAAAGTAATGTTGCTGTTCCAGTTTTTTTCTCAAACAATAATTGTCAAAATAAATTTATTTTCATAGCTATCGACCTTGAAACTTCATAAAATTTTAATGTAAGATAGTAAACTCCTTATAATATGACATAGTCAAAAACTAGCATCCGTCGACATCATATGGAGTATTAAAATATTTTTCAAAACTCAAAGCGACCTAGTTGAAAGGTAAACCGGTGCAGTTTACTTAAAATGGCATATAAAATTCCACCGACGTCAAAATTACATGATTTCAAATTTATTCAGTAGCTAATCCATGAGACTATCAAATCCAATTGGTTTCATCCAAAATTCCAAGTAACGAGTGAGTTATGAATTTTTGAAAACAATGGTAGACGCTGAAAAACAGAGACAACACCCAGCACAGTTTACTTTATGTGACATATAACCTTTTACCGATATTGAATTGACATGATTCTAATTTTATTCAGTATCTAACTTATTAGGCTATCCAGTCCAATTGGTTTCGTATAAAAATACCAAGCAATGAAAGAGTTATGATTTTTTTAAAGATAAGCCAAAAACTGAAATTTCTGAAAAGACATCAAAACTTTAAGTCGCTAACTTTTTTTTATACGGTGATTTGTAAATTTATTTCTATGACGCATATCTACTTTCAAACATAATTTATTCATAACGAGTGTTCATAAAATAGATCCACTCAATATTCATAGGAATCAAATTTAAAAAAAGTGTAAACATCTTAAAATCAACTAAAGATATAAATCACTGGCTTCTCGATGACATGTTGCATCATCTTTTACCATCATCTACACCCCAAGGAAAATCCATTCAACCTGTAGGAAGGGAATTAACCCATGAGTTTGAAACTTAATAGATATCATCGGTGCAATTTGTTATCAAATTAGAAATTCTGAACTATAGATTTATACCGTCGTACGTAGATGGATTTTCGGCAAAATCCAATTACTATAGCATTATCATAACACGTAGAGCTGGAGAATGATCATTCAAACTGTTATAGTGCCGAAGCACCGTACCCGGAGGTACCATTTCATTCAAACATTTATCGAAAATCAGATTTGAAAATGAATGAACACTTGCACCTCTACCTACCTTGAATTTTCTTGGATAAAAGAACAAAATGTATAGAAAACCTTCCTTCTTCTTACCCCTGTTATATGTTAAGCTTAACTTGATATGAAATATATTTTTTTGAGAGAAAATGAGATGAAATTTAGATTTGAAGATGAGTGTAGTGGAAAAGTGACCTTCCACTTCTATAACCTTTCTTTTTAATGAAAAATTAAGAGTTGTATTATCATTAAATTTATTAAACTTAGTTTTTAATTAAGAATTTGAAGAGTCTCTAAACCATATAAATAATTCATATAAAAGTTTTATAAAAAACATCTACATGGTGATTCAAACCTGAGTTGCCTATATGAAATACCATGAAGATAACCATTTTGGCAACCCAGTTATTCATTAAATCTTTGTAATCAATTTTACTTAAACTTAATCTCTTAAATTGCTGGGCTTTTAATTAACTTATGACTTGGACTTTCGTAATCTTACATGGGTTGAGCTTCTATAGGTTGTTTCTAAAATAGGTTAGGCTCGTGGTGCTAGATCATCACAAAATATTAGAATAATTCCATTTTATTTTTCTCGGCTACTGCAGGTCCGGCTTAACTTGAAGAAGAACCAAAGACAAGATCAAGGGTTATGGGGATCAAGGAGGCCGTGAAATGAGTTGTCCAAGATGCGGAGGGCAAGGACTCGAGTGTAACAAGCCAAATAACAACTTACATGTTGGTCATGAAGGCAAAATCATGTTTGGTGCATTGGATTCAAGTTGTAGAAGATATATGGAAAGACGAGCAACGTGAATTAACACGGGCATAGCTTTAAGCTCGAGTGTTGAATTTTTACCCATGAGTACAATCCGAAATCGTCACAAAATTCTGCACAAGGAAAAGGAGGTGTCAAATTTAATGCTATGCGACTGCAAAGCATAAAAGGGACCAAATTGAAGGATTTCAAATGAACTATGTGACTGCATAGTAAAATTCTGGACGCGCATTTTCCATTTTCACGAAGTCTTTTATTTTTTTTAAAACTTTAATTTTTGATAACTTTTGTATTCTTTAGGACTTTTATTCTGTTTTAAACTTTGTTTCTAGGTTTAGTATAAATAGGTTTATTATTCTTCATTGTAAAATAAGGCTTGTGATATTTTAAGAAATTAATTCAAGAGGCAAGTTGATTCATATCTTTGTTCTTGATGAACAATTTTCAAGCTTATCAAGAATTGAATTCTTGTGGCATTCAAAACACCGGGTGAGAGTCTTGAATTGTGTAATCCACATGTCAACAAATCTATTGATTATGTTGGTTGCTTGGTTCATTGTTTTGGGTCAAATCCAAAATCGGGATTATTTTTGGGTTTCTTTGGTTCAACAATCTCTTGTGGATTTCGTAGCCGTCGTTGCTATGGGGGGTTCACATCAGTATGGTTTGATTCCATCTCGTCAACAAGTCAAAAGAAGAAGAAACAAGGAAGTTGTTCTTAGATTTCTTTTGATTGTTTTTGTTTTTTTTTTTTCAAAATTACAAAACAGATGCCATTATTTTTTTTAAAATTTGATTTAGTAGATTTTTTAACCCATGGCATGGAGATTGTTGATATTTCCCTTTGGGGTTTACCACAATACATCTGGTGTTCAAGTTCTAATCACCTAGTTAATTGTTGCACTTAATTAAAACTGCCTGCGCATTGCACTCAGAACCGTTAGGAACCGAGTATAGGATATTGTGACTAACTGTTGTCCACTATTTAGATAGTATAATTGTATAGGATTTTTTAATTTGCCTATTAAAATTTACACTTTGTATTAGAGCGGGTTCGCTTTAAAATGTATGATCTACGAAAAATCTAGTAATGAACAGAGCGATGTTTAGATCTCGTCTTAGACGGGACGTAATACTTATATTGAAAAATTAGGATACATGTCTATGTCTAATCCTCAGATTGAAAAAACTCAGCAATTTATCATTTTTGGCTATAAAACACTAACTATGACTAAAAATGAGAGAGAGAGAGAAACAGGTTGAAGAGTTGGGAATATAGATTTTAGTAATGCTAGTCAGAATTCAAAAACTTTAAACGCTATTTTCTACTTTGTGGATTGTAATCAATTCCACTTTATTTCTACGTGCAAGATGGCCGAGGAAGCTTGGGATACACTACTAGTCGCTCATAAAAGAACCTCCCTCATGAAGTTTTCAAAACTTCAAATTCTCACTCTTAAGTTTGAACAATTGACAAGAAGAGCAGATGAACAATTCAAGGATTTTTACGCCAAGCTAGATGACATCACCTACCCGACATACACTTTGGGGAAGAAGTACTCAGAATGTAAGATTGTAAAGAAGATTTTTAAATCACTACCAGTTAGATTTTACTCCAAAGTAACTGCCACAGAGGATGGTAAACATTTTAAAAGCATAATGGTTGAAGAGTTGGTAGGTTCTTTAATGACATACGATTGCATCTCTATAGGAGGGAAAAAATGAAAAAGGATTTTGAGCTTTATATGGTAGGAAGTGCAGAATACCAGTTTACTGGGATGAAGCTAGTAAGAAGTTAGTAAGCTTTGAATTGATTCAAATGACTTTAGAAAATGTGAAATTGATCCAAGAAAAGTTGAAAGCAACTCAAGATAGACAAAAAGTTATGCAGATAGGAGTAGAAACGATCTTGAATTCACAGTTAGAGATAAAGTTTTTCTAAAATTGTTGCCTTGGAAAGGGGTTTTGAGATTTAGCAAACAAGGAAAGTTGAGTCCATGATACATTGGACCTCATGAGATTACTGAACGGATTTGTCCAGTTGCGTAACGATTAGATTTGTCAATTGAATTATCCAAGATTCATGATGTATTTCATGTTTCCCATGCTCCGCAAGTACATTGCAGATTCTTCTCATGTTCTAGAGTCTCAACCAGTTCAGTTGAAGGAGAATTTGACCTATGTAAAAGAGCTAATGAGAATTCTAGACAAAAATGTGCATATTCAGCGAAGCAAGCCAATTTCACCTGTAAAAGGTACTTTGACAGAACCAGACTGTAGAAGAGGTTACATGGGAGAATGAAGATTAGGTGCATGCTCAATATCCTCATCTATTCATTATCTAGTCAGTTGTCAGATGAATTTCGATGACGAAATTCTTTTAAGGGGCAAGATTGTTACAACCCACTTCATTTAGTCAAAAATCAAAAATTGACTTGTCAAAGTCTAAGTCGAATAGGGATTAAAATGAAATATATTATTTTATTGAGATTTATTTTATGATTGAAAATACTTAAGGGTTTAAGATGCATAAAATTTAAGGTTAGGTTTTATTTTTCTAATTATGGAAGTTAAGGATTTAATGTGCTTTTATATGAAAGTTGGAGACTTCCTCTGTAATTGTTGGTATGAATGGAGTATGTGGCAAATACATAACCATAACCCATTTTTCATTAATACACACACATAGAGGAAGCTGAAAACGGGCAGAGGAAGAAAATTGAGAAAGAAAATGGAAAAAAATAAAGGAAAGAAGAAGAAAGAAAAGGAAGCAAGAAGAAAAAAGAAAAAGGTAGGTTTGGCTATTCAAATTTCACCCTTTAATTGACCTAATTTCTCCCTTTAATTTACCTAATTTCTCCAAGGGATATAGCAAAATGTATGCCTAGTTTTTAGCCTTTTTATTTGTTGGTGTAAATTTCAGATTAAGATAAACGAGCACCATTGTCAGTTGAAGTTCCTTGACTGGTTACTTTCCATTTACATTAAGGTAAGAAATACCATTTTTTGCAAACCCTAGATTTTAATTGGATTCTTAGATATCTATGATTAGTAGAAATAAAGGTGTTAATTGAGATGATTGTATGAAATTATGAGTTATGAGCAGAAATGTAAAGCTAAATTGGTGCAAGTGGGATTTTATGCGTTTACTAGAATGGAAGATAGAATAATTATTTTTACGCTTGGGATGAATGTAATTTCAATAGATTAGGTACTAGTCAAGGTGTTAATAGGTGGAATTAGTTCCAATTGTAAAAGAAATTGAAAAATTTACTCCAAGTGCCGAGAATTCAAGTCCTAGTATTCCATATTTAATTGTTATGGGTACTTGGTATGGTGATTGTTAAACTAGTTATCTTGTATCGTATTTTAGGTGATGACGAAGAGATTGGAAAAACTTACCGACCATTCTAAACTGTGGCTTGTATTTTGTGAGCGAAAAAACTTATTTTTCAAAAATATATTAAATTTATACCCGAACAGAAAAATATTTCATATAGTTGGTTTGAGAGCATGATTTTCATATTAAAGTGGATTTTATAGTCGGTTATTTTAAAGTTAAATTCAGTTCAGTTAAATCATTTTATTAGCATATTATATGAGAATTAAATATTTCAACATATCTAAACTTATTTTTAAAACCATCATAAAGTACCCAAATGATAATTTGGATCTTCCTTTTCGTTATATATTTCTACCTTCGGGCGAACAAAGTTATCTGGAATAGGGATTTCCTTGATCTCCTATAAAAATGGCAAGTTCTCATCATCATCATCTAGCTCATAAGATATTGCTGGCTTCTCCTCATACTCCTCTTAAATGGGAGCAAATAAGAATATTTAAGCAAGCTCCTCGCCTTTCTATCTTCACATTGGCGGACGCATGAATTTTGAGTTAGTGGGGCACTATTTTCCTTTCAAATTTCAATTGTTAGCAACCATTGGCGCAAGGCAGAATGGCAGTCGACGGATGAACGGTTTTCTTTTCAAACTTTGGTGTTTGCACTTTGCCATTTGGTTTGTAATGAGGTAATGGGTTTACACCTTTTTTTCTGTTTTCAATTTTCAATGTTTGTTAATTAATGGAATTGAGAGTTGGCTAGGAATTGGGTAGGTCATGTGAGAATTGGGAGTTGCTTGGGAATTGGGTGCCGTTTTGCATATCAAAAAGGGGAAAAAAAAATTTAAAAAAATTAAAAAAACCTGGTGGGTCACGACCTTGTGGGTCCGCCCCTGCATCTTCATTATGATAGATATGATTATACATCCTTCTGTGAGAGCTTACCTCATCCCCTAGCATATTAAACATGCTTGGAGATCAGTTGATTTGACGATCCTATCATCGCTTACAAAGTAGACTATTTGACATATCCGCTATTCGAACATTCTGGAGAATGTTGATCGGATGGAAATAATTTTCTATAAGTTCTGAATTGTTCTCTTTAGATTCCAAATTAAAGTCTACCTTTAGATAAATTGCCATCGCTCATATGGAGGCATTCTCAACAATCAGTACTCTTAAGGCTCTCAACCATATCTTGTATAGTTTTTATGGTGAAGATCTTCCATTGGCAACGATGCTAGGCAGGAGAGAGCTACGTACAGTTTGATTGGAGATTCTTCCCATTTCCATTCTGGATTAATATTGTTGTCTTCATGGTTGTTGCTAGGAATCTTGATTTCAATTTTCAGTGCTTCCACCTTCACGAGATTCCTATAGACGATGAGACCCTGGTTGTCTTTGTCCTGTTTCCTATAGACAGCACCAATTTATTGATCTTGAGATTATAATCTACAAATTATCTCACATAGCCAGGTATTTTTTCTTCTTAAACTCATTGATTCTATACTCAAACAAGAGCAAGAAGAGATGCTTATTTGAAAGGAGGATATTTAATTTTGCATGCCTTTACTTGTTCCCAACTCTATTTATAGATTTCAATTGAGATCATGGGGGCAATTACGTCATTTGTGTTTATGCCATATGGAAGCATTTGATTAGTGAATTTCTAATTGAATTGTTAGCTTTTCACGTTTTATTCACTTGTTAATGTTTTCCTCATTCATTGGTTACGAAATCATGCTTTAATTTCATATTTAAATGGGCTTTGATGATAGAATAGTTGGTGAAACTAGTTAATAAAAAAATCTTGCTTATTTCATCATGGCTTGCACATGGTTCGGTTGATTTTGATAAGAATTGCTTGAGAGAGACGTGGATCTGCTATCAATCCTTCGTGATTTTTAATTAATACTAAGCTCTTGTTTGAGCCATATTATTTTTCTTAAAATACATTTTTGAATAGTATATTGATAGGAAATGTGTAGTTCAAAAATAAAGAAAAATTTTGAATTTGCATGCAATATTATTTTATTAAAAAATTTGTGGTTGAAATGATGACAAATTACTGTTTAAAAATGCATTTTTTTTTTAAAAAAAAATGTGGCTCAAACATGGCCTAAATATAAAAATGAAGCTGCAAGAGAAACAATAAATTAAATATGATCTCACAAAATGCCGACAATCATAGAAAAAGAAAACTTAGAGAAAACAATACGGTACAATATTTTTCTCCCTTCCTATGTAAAGATAGATATCTAGAAGTATGTCGCATGCATACCCATGCCTTTTTTTTCTGTCTCTCTATACCTCACACATTATGGCTGGACAATTTAGGGGTGAGCATTTTTTTTCCCAAAGCCGGACCAAATCAAATAGAACCAGTCGATTCGATTTCGATTCCTCTACTAAATGGGTCAATTTTGGAACAATGTATTGAGAACCGATCCGTACTGGTCCGGTTCTCAGTATTGCCTTAAGAACCAGTGGTGAATTTGATTTTCCCGAATTTCTTTTTTTACCTGCACCAAGATACAGTAAATCTTTAAACACTAGAAGCCAAAATTATCTTTCGTTAAAATTTCATTTTCATATGCTTCTTGCATCCTTTAATGGTTAATCAAAATTCAACTCTAAATAACTTTATAAATACTTTACAAATTCATAACTTTAATGCAACGCAATAAGAAAATATATTTTTGGTTCAATATTTCATAAGAATTCAAATTTTTTGTTGTTTCCAAAGTAACCGGCCATCAAGAATCAAGATCCTAGAAGATTAAAGATAATTAGGTTATTTTTATAAAATTTTCTTAAAAATCAATTTTCCATCGAGATTTTACCATTTATGCCGTGTTTAATAATTTACCTTTTTCCACTTTGTGAGCTGATCTTGAGCTTTAGATTGATTGATTTTTTGTTCGTTGCCTTGTTCAATTGATTTTTTTGTGTTGTTAGAATTAAAGAATAACAAGTGGTTTCATACTTTATTTTTGACTTTTTTCTTAATTGATAAGTAGTTTCATAGTTTATTTTTATAATTTTCCAGAATAAAGAACTAGACCGAGTTGGAACTTATTGGTTCGGTTTTATAGTTGTATGTCAAACCAGTGGTTCCGTTTTTAAGATTTCCATTGTATTCGGTTCGATTCTGGATCAAATCAGACCTGCCCACTCCTACACAAACTGTATCAATTCTTAGGTGTTTCGTGTCTCCAATTCGGCTTCTTGGTGTTAGACGAGCCTTCCATATATTTGTTAAGTTTTGTTAACATTATTTATTTTCTTTCTTCCATGGCTTTAGTTTGTTTCCTTTGTTCACCTTGCAAATCTGCCGAGAACACCATGGTCCCAATTAGATAACAATTGAATTTTTGCATGGAAGGATCTTACTTTTTTCTCCAGTTTTAATTTGAGCCACAATTTTCCCAAGGTCTAGGTCGAAATTAAAAATTCCAGTCTAAACTTTGATAGTATATTATTTTCAGAAAATTGCTTAACTTCTGCCTGGATGTTACCCTTGTGATTTGTTATATATTATACTTGGAAATCAATAAAGTACAAATCAATACGTATATCAACGCAAACAGTGGGTATGAGGTGCCAATGCAAACATTGCCAAATTTATGCTAGTAATCTTATTCATTTAGATTGATGATTGTCATAAGTTTATGTGGTTTACATTTTTCTATGAAAATATATATTCCAATTTATTAGTGATCCTGCTACCACTTAAATTTACGATGATCACTATTAGTTGAAATATCATTGTTCTATTTTATGTACAGTTGTTAATAAATTGTAGCGCCCAATTAAAGACTAAATTATTAATCAAACTGGAGAAACTTTAATGCGAGTTGTAAACTTCTAGCTTGCAATTGAGCGCCAAGCATGCTTAACAAAAAATGAATGGTGAGGACAAAATATTGATTCTTGAGTTCTTGATCTTGATTTTGACTTCTTATTCCATAATATTGATTGTCTTGTTCTGTGATTTGATTCTTGATTGTGGGCTTTGATCTTTCTCTTCAATATGTTTTCATTTTTAGTTCTTGTGTTGATGGGATAACACGAAAAATGAAAAATTACCTATGAATTGGTGACCATAACTTTATATATAGTTTCCCTATGTATTTCGTCCATCATGAAATAAAATTCTAAAGAAATTTGATCTCTACACAAATAATTTGGTCTACACTTTATTTAGATGCCCTAAGTCCAATTATTTAATTCTTTATTAGATCGCTTTAATTTTGGGCTTAACTTCAAGATAGCATATTTATAAACAATTAATTACATTTGTAGGCTCACATGACAAATTAATAATTTTCAAACAATCTTTCAATTGGGCTACATATGTTATCTTATAAATGTGTATAACCTTATGAGCTCAAAATTTTTGCTATCATAACCAAAAATATCTCCAAACAATCTCAGCCATCAATTATCTTAATAAATGATCAAAACGATTTTCATGACAAGTATCATAATTAAACCCATCAATGATCACGTATATCAACACAACGAAATGAAATAGATCAAGTATAGATGTAGGAAGGAAATTACATGTAATGTGATCTAAACATACCTATTTCCAATTTATCTACCTTATTCTTCAATGAGATCAATTGTAAACTTTAATCAGAGTGGAACTGAATTGAATACTTTATTTTTGAAATAAATTGAATATCCATGGATAAAATATGTATCTAAAACTAACAATATCCAAATACAAGTTCCCACTAAACGGCGTATCATCACAAGATGCAACACCCATGTAAGCAGTATGCTCATGAATGACATTGGGTGATAGCCCTTTAATAAGTGGATCCACGATTGTAAAGTTTTGTCCTATCTATTTGGGCTCCAAGATTTCAAATATAATGAAGTGAATATTTATTTTTTGAAAAATGTGTGATAAAAAAATTAAAATAATTTTTTTGATTTACGTATAATATTTTTTATTGAAAAATGTGATTGATAAGAAGAGAAAAAAATAAATTTTAATTTAATGGAGGCCAAATAAAGGCCTAATATGTTCCTTAGAATTCTAAACACTCTGAATTCTTTTATTGACAATTAGGAACTTAATATCTATAAACTTTGACATTATCAAACTCTTGTTGGAATACAAAACTGTTATTGTCACAGAATAAATAAAGTGGTCTTTCAAATTCATCCAAAATATACAGCCTAGTGACAAATTTTTACAATCATATTCCATGATCTAAATCAGAATATCCAATGATTTCCAATTTGTTTGATTTTCCTGAATATGATCATGTAATTCTTAGTTTTGTGTAAATAATGAATAACCTAATTGGCTGCTTTCCAAATATTTATCCTAGAGTTAATTAAATATCTGCCTAGAATTCAAATAATGAATGTCATATCTAGACGTATGCTAAATCTTAGAAGGGAATTTCTATATTTTCTTTTCTTTAAGTTTATCTTTGGAACATTAATTAAAACTAAACTTGTATCCCTTAATATTAGGGATACCACCTAATTTACAATCCTACATCCCAAATCTTTTAAGAACCTTTTCCATATAACTCTTTTGTAATAATCCAAAAATGATTTGAAAATGATCCCAATGTATCTATATCCTTAATACAAAAAGGATGTCATTAAGTTTTTTTATTTAAAAATTTCATGATAGAAATCTCTTGATTTCGTGCAATAAGCTTATATCATTGGACATACATACAATAACAGAAATATATGTTTACTCTCCATTGAACTTGTGATATATACATTCATCTCAAAACTAAATGAGATAATTATTTGATGAAATTTGTGATACTATTATAGAAAGCCTACTTAAACTCATAAATA